CCCCAAAACCCCAAAACCCCAAAACCCCGCTGGGAAAATATAGTCAATATTAAAAATTAAATTATTTGTATTAATCCAACATCAATTTTATAACTTAATGGAACTTTAAAAAAGCTCTAAGAAAACCTAAAATTTTGACAATTAAACTAGAAGCAATAATCAATCAAAGATTAATGAAATGGATGTTAATCGTAAATAAGATATAGAATGCTAGCAGAGCTAAATGAGTAATAATATTGGCTCATTAATAATGATCGAGTAATTTTCTAGCAAAACTTCGAGTTGAATAAGAAGACCATTAAGTGGAGTAACATATTAGCAAAGATGTGGCCAGATAGGATCAGGGATCGTAGCTAGGGCTCATCATCAAAAGAGAAATCAACCTAATGCTGACTTGAATCTACTTAGTGCCTAAGCCAAAAGTCACGATTATGAGTAGACATAAACTAATGATGATATCGACAATTTGATATAACTGAATGAAGACAAAATCGGATAAGACTGCGAAGATAATGATTAAGAAGAGGATGATTATTAATCAGATTAGTAAAGCCATAATGAGGAAGAGGAAGAATATCAATAAGAAGAAGAAGATGGGAGATCGAATTTTGTAAGGTAAAGAGCCTCTGAAATAAAATCTTGCTAGGATAGACTCTCCAATCATTCAAACTAGCTGAATGAAGCCTAACCTCATTCAAGAGGTCATAATAAGCTTTAAGATCTTAATCATAAGAGTAGTTCATATCATGGCTTAAATTAAGCATCAGATAAATACCATAGAGCCAAAACATCAAAGCCCTAATCCAGGCTGGTTTATTAACAAATGAAAGTCCAAAATTAGATAAAAAACATGAATTATGTAAATTAGTATGCGTGAGCAGATGCTGACAAAGCAATGTTGTAAAATAACCTAAATAGGCAGCAGTATTATTAGCAATTTTATCCTTAATAATTTGGGAATGTTAAAATGATCACAATCTGTGGTTACTTGGACTCTCTATAAACATTTATTGGCTAATCACTTAACAAGCAAAATATTCTTTTAAAAGATCAAGATAAAAAAGATTTTACGAAAGTCTTTGCATAAGTGCCTAAGAGAAAGCCATAGATAAAAAATTTTGTCGAAGATGATCCAAGATTAGGGAAAATACAATAGATAGTTTTGGATAAGATATTTGATAAAACAGAAGTGGATTAAAAAAGAAATTTCATCTCGAAATATAAAGTATAAGGAAAAGATTATGGATAGAATATGGTCTAATAATAGCAAAAGTAGCTCAAAGAGATTATATAGAAATATACTTAGATTTAGCAAGTTGGTGAGAGATAGTAGCTGGTATGAATGACTCATCATTAATAAACTTAATCTGACTTAAACGGTAGTGGAAAGTCATATAATTTGTTAGAAAGCAATAGTAAGAAACATAAGTATCGATAAGTGATAAATGCTAATAACTGGATTTATGAAAATGAAATTATTCCAGAAGACCCAAATATTGCAAAGAGAAATTAGTCTTAATTCTTCAATAAGCGACATATAACATCTGAAAATAAACAAGTAAGCTCTCAAACTGAGATTAGAAGGTATACTTCATAAGGTTCAAACATAAATGATAGGAAATTGATTCATGATGATTCAAATCTTGGTTCTGATAAGTAAAACAATGTAATTACTTAAGCCACTTCATCATCCAACTGTAAAGACTCAGACTATCAAATTTCTTAGCAAGATTAGCAAAAATAGACAACAAATGAACTCTTAAGCAAAAACACTTCTAATAAAAGTATTTAAATCAAGAATAATAATCATGTACCGAGAGTATATCAGTGAGATAGAGCTCAGAAAAATCAATTAAGACTCCTCAATGTGGAGTAATATGCTTAAGCATAATACAAATTAATATCAAAGAATGATGCTGTAGCTTAAGCTAATGGAGGAGTTTAAGGAAGGTTTAATGATAATTAAAATATTTGTGGACTCAGCAAAAGGCAATCTAATCTATTTAACCGAGGAAATCAGAATCAATTGAATATTTCTTATAGTTCAATAAAAAATCCTTCAAGAGGAAATTCATTTCAGCAATAAAAAAGATAGAGGAGTTAAGTAACTAACAGTTTAAACGGGATAAGGGGAAAGTAAATTATTAAAGATCCAGTATCTTAAAGATAATCTATGAGTATTTGCTCTAGTAATGGGGATTCGTATTAAAATAATGACAATGACTACAATAATCTGCCTTAGCCTAAAATTCTCAATCAGAAAAGGTTGTTCTCTGCAAATCAAAATACAAGTGAAGCCAACATATAGTCAATTAGCTCTTAGCTTTCATTGCCAATGAATTAGGTAAACTAAGGAAAACCAATTATTGACTCTAACAGTGTCTTGACTAGCTCAAGGGGTTTTGAACAGTATTAGAATAAGTCAAATATCTAAAGTTGTACTACAAGCCAGGTATTAAATAATGATTATCTATCAAATCTAACAACTATAGCAGCTAATAATCAGAATTAGTAGCATAATCCTAACCCAACTGCATACTTCTTCCATAACTTGTAAAATAAAAAGTACTCGTTGCTAACGGAGCAATAATAATCTACAACAGAGATCTATAATTTCAAGCCTAATAAGTAAAAAGTGCCTCCAACTTTCAACTAAAGTCTACTTAATGCCTAGAATATGATTAACTAAAACAACCAGTAATCACCAACAAGTAGGGGGTAGCAGAAAACTATGATTCAGAAAACATTGATTAAAATCTTTAATAACAATACATTGCTTAGTCAATAATTAGTAAAAGAGGTTAATGCAAAGCAGATCCAAGAAAGCTGCTATTAAGATCATAGTTTAGACATTAAAAGCTATCAAGTACAAAAGAAGCAGAAATAGCAATAATAGCTATAAAACGAACAATAAGAGATAGCAATAAATAACAGAGATAGGTATAAAAGTTCTAATTCAAAGCCTAATAACTAAATGTTTCTTAGTCAAATTTGAAAGATCTTCATTATAAATTAATATATTGTTTATTCACACTCTTATTAGCATGATTTATCATTTGGGGTTTTGGGGTTTTGGGGTTTTGGGGTTTTGGGG